TCAGTAGCACAGTGAGCTTTCCCTCCTACAGATTGTGCCCTTGGGGCGGAGAGAAGCCAAGGCCAAGGAGCTGGTGAGGCAGCTGCAGCTGGAAGCTGAGGAGCAGAGAAAGCAGAAGAAGCGGCAGAGCGTCTCCGGGCTGCACAGGTCAGTAGGCTGGCAGATGCAAGAGGTCTAGGCACACTACCCACAAATCAGCTGTACCTCGGCCAGCCCCTACAGCCACCAGAAGTGCAACATAACCAGAGGGAGAGGGACTGTCCCCAGACTTCCTTCTAAGAGAGAGTAACTACCCCGCCTGAAAGGGCCAGACTCCATTGTGTGTGTGTGTGTGTGTGTGTGTGTGTGTGTGTGTGTGTGTGTGTGTGTGTGTGTGTGTGTGTCAGGGGTGGGGGTGGGGGTGTCCTGCTCCAGGTGGCCATCAGGTTCTCAGTAGTGGGGTCGTGTTGTCAGACCTAAGGCCCTCTGTTGAGCTTCACCTCCCGGGTCTCTGGGCAGATGAAGCAGCTCTGGTTCGCCTGCAGAGCTTAGCCCCTGCTTGGCTTTTCTACTAGCTCACTATGCCTGTCCCCCGATGCCTCCCACACAGGTACCTTCACTTACTGGACGGGAAGGAAAACTACCCTTGTCTTGTGGATGCCGAAGGAGATGTGATTTCTTTCCCACCTATCACAAACAGTGAGAAGACAAAGGTAGGCAGTGTCTGAAGTGTGGACATGTCCTCTAGGCGATCCCACCATCTAGTGCCCGCTTGTGAGAGAGAGAAAGAAATGCAGCATAGAGGGCTGGGGCCCTTTGCTCCTCAGCATTGCCCACACCTGGTGCCACCCACTCTACAAAGTCACCATTGTGCTGTCCCCCAGTCTTTGCTACAAGTTCTTTGTTTTGAGACAGGTTTTCATGTAGCCCAGGCTGGCCTTTAACTTGATATATAAGCTAAGAATTACCATGAACTTCTGATCCTCCTGTCTCCACTTCCCTAATGCTAGGATTATAGGTGTGCACCGCCATGTCTGGTTTACACAGTGCTGGGGACTTAACCCAAGGCTTCATGCATACAAGGCAAGCACTCTGCACCTCCAGCCCTGCGTAACTCTGCTTATAGATTGTTCTTCTGAATACGTCCCAACACCAATAACTATTCTTTCCTGAAATCCGACTCTTAAGATTAAGAAAACAACAAGCAACTTGTTTTTGGAAGTAACGAGTGCCACGAGCCTGCAGCTCTGTAAGGACATCATGGACAGCCTCATTCTGGTGAGTGACCCCAAACCACGATCCTGGCCATGAGGGACAGCTTTGTGTTCCCACCCTTTCATAGCTGCTGTTTGCCGCTCTGTGGGTTACTGCAGCCTGGCTTCCGACGTCCCCACTTCTCCTCTTCGTTAAAAAGTTATTTTCATTTGCAGAAAATGGCAGAGCTGAGCAAAAGCACTTTAGAAAATAAAGAGGAAGACGCACTCTCGGGTACGGAAGCTGATGCCAGCTGTGGACTTTCTGATCCCAACTTGAATCTAAGAGCTGGGAAGGATGGACAGTGCCCCCTGGTGGTGGAACAGGTCCGGGTGGTGGACCTGGAGGGGAGCTTGAAGGTGGTGTACCCATCCAAGGCTGACCTGATCACCACCCCTCCCTATGTGACTGTGGTTCGCTGACAGTCCAGGCTGCATGACTGGTCCCCTTGTGGCTCCTGTGGGTGTGCTGGCTGTAGAGGTCTGTGTGGTTGTTCTTCGTTCCTTTTCTCTGGGTATTTGAAGGTGTCTGCTTCTGTCCAGGTGACTGTTATAAAGTGAGTTGTGTCATCATTACAGCACTCATGATCTACTGCTCTCATGGATTATTCAAGTAATTGCTGGAAATGTTCTGAATCATGTGGCGAGTGACTTGGGAAAGACACCGAGCTAGGTTTGCCAGTGCAGGTCTCAATTCAGGTTAAATGGCAGGTGTTCTAGTGAACGGTACTTGTTTCTCTACAACATGTTAATGGGTTGGTTTGTTTTTAACACCTGTGCAAAGACAGTTGGGAACATCATGTTGTGATCTTAATCTTTTCAGAGCTTGCTTCCTAGCACGGTGCTGCTGCTCTGCTCCCAGAGCCGCGTCCGCCTCCCACCACTGTGCCCAGGGCTGGAGTGCTGGTCATTGTTGTTACATCCACTCCTCGGCCTGTGTAGTGGGGCGGGTTTCTGTGAGTGGATGGGCAGGCTGGTTTGTGGGCTGTCGACCAGTGACAAGAAGGTGTGCCACACACACGGCCCTACAGCTTCCATCTCAGTGTGTCGTTGTACACCACCTGTCTCTCTCTGCGTGTGTTGACTTATGTACCCAGCACACCCCTCCATCCCTGGAGCCAACGTGATTGGTCCTGAGGACACAGCCAGCTGCAAAAGGGACGTAGTGGGCCCTGCCTTAACATCTGGCTGCAGCAGAGAACCAGGCCCTTGAGCCTCTCTGCCTGATGTCATCTTCTCTTTGGTCTTTGACCTCAAAGGACAGTTTGTCTTCTGTAAAACAACAATGGTTTGGGTTTGTTGTCTGGGGTTTTTGTTTTGAGGCTGTGCAAGAACCTTTCGTTGTCAGAACCAGAGAAGCTCCAGATCCCTTACGGCAGTGTCCTGGACAAAGCTGGTAGGTGTTCAAGCTCCATGAGACAGGGAGCTACCTCGTGACTATGCAGTCGCCTCTCATAGGTCCCTTTGAGTGGCTGTGGCAAGAGCTCGGCTATTCTGTGTGGATTCACCAAACTGTGAGGGTGGAGCTGCCCCATGCCCACCTCCCACCCCCACCAGCTCCTGATGTTCCCTCCAGCACAGCCCATGTGTGAGACTCAAGTTTTTGGAACTTTTTACAAATACAAGCAGAATGCCTCTTTGTTCTAATAAAACTAATAAAACCCCTTGGTAGCAACATTTCCTCTGCACCCAGCAGCCTTCCCACTCTCGTCTCCAGGGGATAGTGCCACAGTTCTAGTGTAGCAGACTTTCACATGTGAGAATCCCCACCTGGTTTTGGGCCCCTCTGGGGGACCCCATGGCCTTATGATCACTTGAAGCAGCGCCCTGCCGAGTACTGGCCAGAAAGCTCCAGGCTGAAGATGCTGGACAGTTGCCAAGGGTGGGCTGGGAGCACCTTAGTTTGGGGTACAGGATGTGGCTAGATGCCCACCCCCTCACTGTCATCCAAGGAGTACAGAAATACCGAGAAGCCTGCATACTTTCCTCTCAACTGGAGCCCCTTGCATGGAACACACTTGATTCTCCCTGTCCCACCTCCCTACTGCACCCCATATCCCTGGCCCAGCCATGTCTGCCTTGTCTAGACATACCTGCTCCTGCCCCAAGGGCTACCAGGCCAGGGTGCACTGCTCTTGACAAGGGCCACTCTAGGCCTTGAGGGCCCTTCCCTGGAACCTTGCACTGCCTGCCTTGCAGCAGCTCATGGCTGGGGGTGCATTCCACGGTCTTGCCTCAGTTGTGGCCTGTGAGTGTGGGCAGAGGTGTCTGTCAGAATTGAGGCCTAGATTTCTAGTGCAGAGACCCAGGCCAGCTGGAGCAGCTCTACTGCAAACTCCCCCTCCCCCTCCCCCCGAGGGCCACTGAAGCTCAAGACAGTCCAAACCAGGAGCTTAGGATGAGGCCGGCCGTACCAGCCCTCCCTGGCCAGACTGGCCAAGCCCCTCAACTTGCCAGTGTGAAAAGAGCAAAGGGGAGGGAACTTTCCAACCTGGAGCAATGGGTTCAGTCGTTTGGTACCCACCACCTGCTGTCTGGCCTCCCTTCTCTGCCCACAGACAGCAGCTGCTCCTGGGCCCTCCACCCTCTCAGCTCAGGGTGCAGACCTTAAGATTTTCTAACGAATGGCCTGCAAGCCTGGGACATTTCACAGCACACCAGGGATGAGGGGTGGTCCAGGGAGATTCTACTACATAGGCCACTAGAGAGGAGACCGGTGTTCCTGCTCTAGCCACAGTACCTTGAAGTGTTGAAGGCCTTGTCCTCACATGGTCCAGTAAGGAAGGACAGGTCCAACCACATCCTAACCCTTAGGTCTGTGTTCTTGAGAGATGGCCCAGCCAGGAGGGGCACATTCCAAGACAGGGCGCCAAGCAGGAAGAGCTGTGGAGGAGGGTCAGGCCTGGAGCAAGTCACGCCTGGCTGGGCAGCACTGTTGGAACAGTCACCCACTGTTCCTTCAGTAAGCAGTGATTTGTCTACAGGCTCCTTGAGGAGTGGGGGCCTGTGAGGAGGCAGCGGGTAGGGCACCCAGCTTCCATTTTCCCTCAGGGCCATCCCTGAGGACATGCCTAGTTTGCTATGTTGTATGTCAGGTGACCCACGCCTTTAATCCCAGCACTCATGAGGCAGCAGCAGGTGGATCTGAGTTCAAGGCCAGCCTGATCTACAAAGTGATTAAGGACAGTCAGGGCTACACAGAGAAACCCTGTCTCGAAAAAAAAAAAAAAAAAAAA